CCAGACTGGGTGTCTGAACCACAGAGCTGTGGGGGAGCCTCTCCCGCTGCAGGCTCCTCCCAGGGCCCCGCCGGGGACACGGGCTGGGCTCGCTGCCTCAGGAGGGCTCCACCTCATGACCTCCTCACCTACACAGGCTGGCCTCCTCCTGCCATCATCTTGGGGGACAGGGTCTAGGCAGGTGGATTTAAAGGGGGGGGACGGACACAGACGCACCCCGGCAGCTTTGCAGACGTGAAGAGCAAGGTTTCTCCGAGTTTCCCGGGAGTTTTCTGGGAGTTTTCTGGGAGGGCCAGCAGAGGAACCCGCGGTGGGAGCCACCCGTGCGCACAGGCACGTGCGGGCCGGTGCAGGGCGGTCAGTGCTTTCACACTGCAAGCGCGTCCAGCACAGGAGCGCTTGTGCCCTGGGCGCCGGCTGGCTGCGTGCTGGAGACCCGTCCCCAAGTGGTGGTGTTTGTGGGTTGTTTTCTGTTTGTTTGCTTGTTTTGTGAATCCTCATCCGGGGATATTTTTTCCATTGATTTTGAGAGAGAGTGGAAGGGGGAGAGGGAGGAGGACAAGGAGGAAGGAGGAGAGAGACAGACAGACCGACAGACATCAAGTGGTGGCCTCCCGCACGTGCCCAGCCAGGGCGGGGGTTGGACCTGCCGCTCAGATACACACCATTGACCGGGAATCAAACCCTTGACCCTGCGGTGCCCAGGCCAGCGCTCTAACCACCGAGCGACCGGCCAGGGCTATGGGTTTATTTCAGGTCGGCGCAGGTCCCCCACATGTGTGGGTGTGTGTGTTTCTATCAGGCGTGCAAGGTTATGTGAAGGTTATCATTTCCATTGGCACATCAATTAAATATCAAGTCATCATTAAAGAGCCTGGTTTTTATGTTAGTGAAAGAGTCACTGGAGAACTTCCTGTGGGAGGGGAAGACCCCTTTCCTCGCTGCCCGGGTCCTGCTCTGAGTGAGTGCCCACCACGGTCAGTATACAGTTTGCCGTTAGTGTCCAGATGGACACGTTAAAAGGACCTACGGTGGAGGTTTTCCAGGTGGGAAGCGACGGAAGATGCCGCGTGAAGGCTCCGAATGGGTGTAAGTTCAGCCGTGAGACGTGGCCGAGCGAGAGCAGCTCCCTGCTGTCACCCCTGAGGCGGCAGCTCTTGCTGCGTTCAAGGTCAGAGGGCACGAGGCTCCCAGAGATGGCCTGTCCTGAGATAAGGGCCCCGGATGGAGAAAGGTGAACTCAGGCCACTGGGGAGACTCCTGGGATGACAGTCCTGTGAGGCTGACTTGACCTCCTGCCCCCGACAGGGTGTGGGTGGGAACCCGGCCTGCAAGGTCAGGGGACGGGGTGGGACATCCACCCGGACTCCCCTCCCACCTTGCTCAGGCTCAGGACTCAGTAAACACTTCATTGCTGCCTCCAGGGCTCCACGGGAGAAAAAGCCCCGGCCAGTTTGCTCAGTGGTTAGAGCATCGGCCTGCGGACTGAAGGGTCCCGGGTTTGATTCTGGTCGGGGCACAGGTTGTGGGCTTGATCCCCAGTGGGGGGCGTGCAGGAGGCAGCCGACCCATGATTCTCTCTCATCACTGATGTTTCTCTCTCAAATCAATAAAAATAATATTTTTTTAAAAAAATAGGGGAAAGAAAACCAGAGAGAAAAAGGACTCAGCGGCTGCAGCAGGTGGAGGGAACCCGGGGAGCCGAGGGCGTGCAGGGCCAGCCGCTCCCTGAGGCCACAGGCTCACAGCCCGAGGGCACCTGGCAGCGGAGGGCAGGCAGCCGGGCACTGCCCAGGCCTCGCCCCCCCGGCCGGGCAGCGCGGTTCTGCTGCCTGGAACCTGTTCAAACAGCCGGTGGCCGGGTGTCGGCAAAGAGCCCTTTGTGCCTCTGAGGCGGCTGCCGCCCGCCCGCCCTCAGGGACCAGGTCAGGCTGCGAGCCCGTCGTCTGCTGACACATTAAAAATGCAGAGGCACCCGAGCCGGGAAGCTGAGCCGCCCGCGTCGGCGTTTCTCCCGCAAACACGGGGACACTTTCCACGGCAGATTCTCCTGTTTCCTCACGTTTTGCTCATTTGTCTGCTTGGCCTTTTCTTTTGTTTCATGTTGAGATCATCGGATTTTCATTGTTATGTTTGGCTGTTGCTTTTCCAACTTCATAAAGAGCCATGTGTTTGTGATTGAAAGAAGCAGCGCCCTCGCCCCCTGCCCCCCGACTCTGCTGGGAAGTTATCCTGGGGCTGTGGTGCTTCCCTGACCTGGCTCTTCTCCCCGTCAGCGGGAGCGGCTGGGGGTGACTGTCGGGTGGTTCTGGGTTAAAAGAGAGGATGGGGACCTTGTGGAGCAGGTGACCAGAGAACCAGTAACCAGCGAGCAATTGGCGGTGGGTCAGAACCAGCGCGGTGCCGTCGGGGAGCGGGCCGTGCTGCGCACGTGGAATGCACAGCGTCGCTTTAGCGGCCGGTCCCCCAGGAGGAGCAGCCGGACAGACAGGACCTGCCCCGCCCGGGAGGGGCCTGCGGAGCCCTCCCTCCCGGCTCCGGCTTAGTCTCTGGACAGTGACCCTTGTTGGTCCCTGTGTTGGAGGTCGTCAGGCTGGCACCGCCCGAAGGAGGAAGGAGGCTGCCCGTGGCCTCTGCAGGCGTGTGCCTGGCGTGTGCCCGTGGCATCTGCAGGCGTGTGCCTGGCATGTGGCTGTGGCCTCTGCAGGCATGTGCCTGGCGTGTGCCCGTGGCCTCTGCAGGCGTGTGCCTGGCATGTGGCTGTGGCCTCTGCAGACGTGTGCCTGGCGTGTGGCTGTGGCCCCTGAGCAGACGGACCAACGGACGAACGGGCTCGGGCAGCGGGCGCCCTCCCGCCCAGGTGCCCCTTCCTGCTGGGAGGTCCTCCTTGGGGTCTGGGTCCAGGGCCTCCACTCCCGGCTGGGCTGGCAAAGGCCGGGCCACTGGGCAGCTCTCACCTGACAAGAGCCTGGGGTCAGGTTCCACGGGTGGCCCGCCTCCTGCACGGGGTGGAGCCCGTTCTCTAGACGCAGCGGGCACGTCAGCCGGGTGCGCTCTGCCCTTCAGTGTGGGCAGGAGGAGAGCTGGGCGGGGCGGGGGCCGTGGCTCATCGCTCCTCCTCTGCCTGCAAGAACCCCATCCCCAGGGCTCCAGGCTGAGCGGACAGGCACGCACGGTCCTCGGTCCTCGTCACCACGTCCCCTGAGGGCACAGGCGGTGCCTTTGTTGAGGGTCTCGGTCCCCTCCCCTCTGGAGCCCCAGGTGCCGGCGTAGGGGCGTAGCACGCGGCCGACGCTGCGGAGGGTTCAAGGGGTATATTTGAGCCAAGCTGGCGACATGCTCGGAGCAAGAGCCGAAATGGTCCGGAGAAGAGCCGTTCTCACTCCTCTCGTGCGTTTGGGTCGGGAGGGCAGGAGGGGAGATCGCGTGGCGGCGGGGAGCCCGGCGGGATGGGTGACAGGGAGGCAGGGTCTGTGCTCTGGTGGCGGCTCGTCTCCGAGGCCCAGGGACCTGGATGCACAGCAGCAGGGGGCAGGGCCGCTTCAGGCAGAGTCGGGCCCGTCTCCTGAGAAGCCACCTGCTGGCGGGGGACTGCCGCCGGCCGCCCAGCGAGAACGTGGGCCTCCATCCAGCGGCTACTTCCTTAGCAGCCGGAGGCAGACGTGGCCCCCGGCTTCACGTGGCGGGTTCCACACGCTCACCTGTCTGTCACCCAGGAAGCGCGTGACCCTGTAGTGACTGTGGACGGGGCCACGTAGTTCTCGTGGGCCCGGCACACACGGGGCGGCACCTCTCACCCCCAACGGAGACCAAGCCCCACGCGAGCGCCACAGGCGTCTTCGGTGGAACAAGTGTCCCCAGTAACACCGGTCGGCCTGACCTAAAGCTTTAACTTAACTCCTGGCCTGTGAACCTAAACACTTGGAGCTGTACACGCGTAAGCAGCTTGTGTTACGCGCTGATGTTACGTGGGATCTGGGCGGGAGGGTGAGGGCACGGGGATCGCCCGGAGCGGGCGCCGCAGCCCCTCGACCTCTGCGGCCGTTCCTGCTCCTCAGGTCCTCGGTGTCCTGTTTCCATGTGTTGCCCTCATTGTCCCATGGCTGCTCTGTGTTTGGATCGTTGTCTGGAGCCGGGGCTCCGGCAGCCGGGACACAGGCGGGGCTTTGTCACAGGCTCAAGTGTGTAAACACGGCTTCGGCTGCTGGTGGCGGTCGGCGTGGCCCCCGGGGCTGCTCAGACCGAGGGTGGGTGGGCCCTCACGGGGCGCGGGGCGCAGGGCATGGGACTGGCACACGCTCCTGCCTGGCTCTGCAGGGACAGGACGGGGCTGTCAGGTGGTCACACACCATCTGCCAGGTCCTCGTCCATCCGGGACCCACTGTCGCGAGCCTGGCCCCAGGGGTGGCCCAGGGTGACCTCAGCCTGACACAGCCCTCGTTCCCTTTCCTTTCATGTTGCAACCAGAACATCTCAGAGTTCTGTGAAGCCAGGTCTGCCCCCCTCCCTTCCCATCCCCTGATAGAGAGAGCCACCCACAGAGTGGCCGGGACTGCGGGGACGGAACGGGCTCCTGCAGGAGGCACCTGACGGGCTCGCGGAGTCTCTCCCTTCCCGGCCCTGCCCTGACAGCGTCTGCCTCTGGGTCCGAGAGGCTGGGTTGGCACAGGACCCACCCCGACGGCAGAAACGAGGCATCCAGGATGAACACCAGGCCTTCCCTCTGCAGCCTCCCGTGGGTTGGCAGGGCCTCTGTCCTCCAGGGAACCGTCCTGGGGTCACAGCTTGGCCGCCCCACCCGGGTGGGGGCAGGACGAGGATGGGCAGTGACTGTCCTCACAGCAGGATCGCAGAGGTCATCTGCCGCTGAGGGAGGAGGAGCCGAGACCCCAGGGGATGGGGCCCAGCTTCTCTCCTCAGCCCAGCTCCACAGCTTGTTACAAAACCCGATCTGTGTGCTTGCTGCCGGACCTGACCTCTCCTGACCTTTGTTGGTGCAGGGAGCAGGTTTCCGAGGTTGGAAGGAAGTGACTTCGCTGTTTAATGACGACGACGAGGAGCACCTGCTGGGAAGATGCAAATCTCCCAAGTCCAGGGGGTAAGTCCCTGCGGGAGGGGGGGACGCGGGCCACAGGCCAGGCCAGGCCCCCGTGGGTCCCCCCTCATCGCAGCCCCGCAGCCCCTCCCTCCCTGTCACGTGGGGAGAGCAGGGCCAGTCAGGTGACACCTCAGGCCCCTCCCCTAGTGAGGAAGGTGCGCAGGGCCCCCTGATGTCTGGGGAGAAGCCGGGGCTGCGGGAAGGCCCGGGGGCAGCGGAGCTGCAGGCGGAGGAGCGTGGAAGCTGCAGACCACGGCCCACCTCCCCTGGCACCAGAGCCGCGACCCAGAGCTGCCTCGCTTCGCTTCACGGGCAGGTGTCGCCGTGACCACCTGCTTCCCCAGGAGGCGGGGCCTGCGTGTTGGTCCCCTTGGCCTCGTCTCCTGGGACCCCGTGTGCTGGCTGGGTCCCTGGGGACCCCGGAGGATAAAAGGAATTCTCCCCGTATTGGGCCCTGGGTCCCTCCTGCCGACAGGCAGGCACGTGAGCACCAGTCGTGTCTTCTGTGCACGTCCACGTGTGGGTCTGAGAGGCGGCCTCACGAGTGTCAGCAGCAACACGTGGGGACGACGTCTCCCTCGTTGATTTTGCTGTTTCAGGTTTTACACATCGATTGGCGTTAGCGTCCCACACACCTTAGATGGTTCTAGAAAAGGAACCTTTATTTACAAAATGGACAGAATCTGAGGCCCCTGCATCACCCCAACCCAACTCCTTTGACTCCCACAGAACCAGCTTACGGTTGAAGGAAGAGCTGAAGACGGAGAAGAAGTCTGGGTTTTGGGACAATCTGGTCTTAAAGCCGAACACACAGTCCAAGAAGCCGGACGAGATCGAGGGCTGGGAGCCCCCCAAGCTCGCTCTCGAAGACCTGGCGGCCGAGTCGGGCCCCCTGAGCGACCAGGCGCCCCAGCCGGGCTGGGAGGAGGGGGCCAAGGGCTCCGGCAAGTACACCAGCCTGGCCGGCCCGGGGGGCAGCTCACGCTGGAGCCTGCGCTCGGCCGGGAGGCTGGTCAGCATCCGGCGCCAGAGCCGCGGCCACCTGACCGAGAGCTGGGAGGAGCTCGAGTGACCGGCTCGGCCAGCGGGTCACACCAGAATCTGCCCAACGTTGCCGCTCTGGCTCCTTCCGCTCAGAGCCTTAGTTTGCTGTCTCAGGTGTTTTCAGTAGAATTGCTAGTCTCTCCAGGTCTCACACCCTGGGGAGGAGTTTCCAAACACTGTGACCGCCCGGTGCCTGCACACTCCTGCCCCTGGCGGTGCAGTCTCCGGTGCTGCCCCACGGGTACAGCTGCCTCCGTTGGCCGCATGACGCGGTGACTCCCGCGTGGAACCGGGGGAGCTGACGGTGACACCAAACGCAGCCGCCGGGACGGACACGCCCAGCCGGGGGCCGCGAGTCTGGCCAAGGCCGCGTCAGGTCGTGTTTATCCTGGAAAATCAAACTTTTTCTCAAATTAAAAATCTGTCAGCAAATCAAATTCTAGAGAAGTGAACGCTGCCTGCCGCCGGCAGAGGCCTCGTCCACGGTGGGTGCAGTCGGCGCTGCGTGTGTTGAGGTTTTATTTTTACTGCTGGGCTTGTAAACATCGATCTGTATTTTCTTCTACAAACCTGTCGTGCTGTTCTGATTACAGATTGCAGGATGCCCTAAAGTGTGGGTCGATTTCAGTCACTTGATATCGTAATTTTGCTTGGAAACTGTTCACTTGCTCACTGTAGAAAACTTGCAACTGTAGAAAACACTGGAAGTGCCTCCTTTCTAGAATGCCCAGGGTTTTGTTTTCAAGGCGAGATGCTGCGCCTGCGGTGGGACCCTAAGGGCTGCGTCCGGCCGTGGGCGGCGTTTTGTCCGTTTTGTCCTTGGCACTGCGACCGCGGGCCAGGGCCCCGGACAGCTCTCCCCGCGGGCGGCCCGGTATCCAGCCGGGGCTGGTGTGAAGGACCAGGCATCGCTTTTTGTCACGAACAAGGTCTGGCTGCACTGGATTCTCTCGGGAGGAACATCCCGGTTGCTCAGGGCTCACGGTGCTGCTCCCCGGAAGGGGGCTGGGTCGCTCCCAGGACCCGCCACACACCCCACGCCTGGTGGGTCGGAGCGTCTGTCTGTCGTCTGCCAAGCCTCTGTCCGTTCACCCACCTGTGTTTTTCAGTAGAACAAGAAGTTTACTTGGCGGAGCCTGGACACGGATGTGCTCTACGTGGTGCTGGGGCTGTGGGCCAGGCTCCGGTCGAGGTGGGACTGTAAACCGCACGCTCATCTGCAAACATTTATGCAAATGCGATGTTCTTCTGCTGTATGGGATCCGGTGAAAAGGGCTCGGTGGGTCTTCCTATAGATATTTATTGCTGTGCTTCAGGAGAAAAATAATCTACCAAAGCAACTTTTTTGCAGATGTTGAGATTGATTGGGTTCTGGTTGAGGGGTCGTTTGAATTCTGTGTACAGACAACTGTGCGAGGAGCGAGGTGTCTGCTCCTTCTACTGATGCTTTAGTATTTTTCATACAAAAGCAATGGCTGCAGAGAAGGTCAAATCCATCCTTAATGCTGAGGTTTTAAGAAATAAAAGTATCATTTATATTGTCCTTGGTCGTTGGCCTGTCATTGGTGCCACGTGAAGGTCACTGCTCACTCGCCTCAGGCCTGGAGCCAACGGCCGCCTCTCCACACGTAAACCCTGTTTTAAATGCAAACTACGTGCAGATGTTTCATAATCCATGACCGACGTGGACCTGAGCTCCCGTGTGAGCTGCTCGCTGCTGTCTGCGAGGCGGGTCTGTCTGGGGCTGCGGGGTTTTGAATCAGTTGTTCCGTGAGTTGGAGACTGAGCTGCCTCCCAGCTCCGGCTGAGAAACAAGAACATCCCAGTCGGGTGTCCTGCCACAGCAGAGGCCGGGGCGGAGCTGGGGGAGGGGGGTGGACCCTGCGGGGATTGGAGAGTTGTGGAACCGTTTCCATGACAACAGTGGCATCTCTAGGAACCTAGTGTGCCCCTGTGAAAGGAGTGGGAGCTAGGAAAGCTGGAGGAGGCGCCAACCAGAGAGGCTTCCCTGAGCAGCCTCCTCTGGGCACTGACTTCCCACCCCTGCCAGCTGCCCAGGTCGCTGGCCAAGCTACCCCTGGAGTCGCTGTCCTGGTCCCTGAAGCAGGGAGAGCCTGTGGGAACCCCCGCGGCTCCCAAGCAGGAGCTCTGACTCACCAGGAGGAGCCTGCGTCTAGCTTTGCCCCCCGCCCTCTGCCTGCAGCTCTGAGGGGCTGGGACAACTATTTCAATGAAAAGTACCATGTCAGCGTGCAGGAGGCAGTGGTCAACGACTCTCTCATCATTGATGTTTCCATGTCTCTCTTCCTCTCTCTATAATAAAAACACATTTAAAATAAATACTATTTCAGCCCACCAGGCGTGGCTCAGGGGTTGAGCGTGGACCTGTGAACCAGGAGGTCATGGCTGATTCCCGCCAGCGCACATGCTGCGGGCTCGACCCCGGGTGTGTGTGTGTGTGTGTGTGTGTGTGTGTGTGTCTGCACGCACGCGTGCAGGAGGCAGCGACCAATGATCCGCTTCACTGATGCTTCTCTCTCTCCCGCCGCCCCCTCTCTGAAGTCAGTGTTAACAATGCAGCTTAGATAATGTAATGTTTTCAAGAAAGCTGACCAACCAGGCAGGGAGTGACAGGAGCGGCCACTGGCCTTGAGGTTTTGAGGATGATTTGTTTCTTTAGAGACCAGGGCTTCAAAGGGCTTCCCTGGCTGTGGCTGTGGCGGTGGCGGTGGCCACAGGCGCCAGGAACCCTGATCCCTGAGCCTTCAAAGCGCAGCAGCGGAAGCCTGAGAGCCAGGGGACCAGGGGGGCCAGGGCGGGGCCAGAGTGCAGCAACCCGAGGCGGTCCAATCTGAGTCACTGTTCCACGGAGACGTGGACTCCCAGGGTGAGGGCAGGGCGCTGCCTGACATGCACTGTCTCCCGGTGTATGTTTGAAGGAGGGAGATAGAGACGATGCTACTAGCCCCCGACCCTCATGACTCACAGATGAACACGCGGCCATGTTCACCCTGGCCGCTGGGCAGCCAGGTTACAGGTGACTTTATGCTATACACCTATACGCGTTTTCTAAAATGGACTTGCATTATTTTTAAAATAAAACCATCTTTTAAAGGTTTCAAAGGCTTAAGTAAGTATGAAACCGCTCACTACAGTTCTCAGTCAGGGCAAGCCTGAGGGGTGTCAGTAAACATGGTTTATTGTCTGTAAAGCAGTTTCCACACAGAGACGTCAGGCTGCCCCACTGCCGCTCGTCATGTCGCCCGTCCCTCCAGGGCTCCGGGGACACCGGACGCCGGCGTCCGAGGGCAGCACGGTGCGTGGCCGGGGCTGTGGCTGGAGGGCGGCCACGCCACTCACACCTCTGCTGGTCACAGACACTTTGCACAATTCACAACTCAATCGCCAAACACCAGGACGGACACACAAATATTCCCCTAGGTCATTTGGTCACAACCAGTGTGGTTAAAATACATCTTAAGAAAAATAAATATTCTGCACAAGGTATTTACACGGAATGCTGGTCCCCCGCCCCCGCCCCCCCGCCTTACGCAAAACCTGGAGACAAGTGACCATCAAGCGTGTCACTGATTGGTGTCAGCTCAGCACAGCACGTGGCGCTCAAAACCCAGGGCCCTTCGGAACCGTATTTGTTAGGAGGCAAAGTTGCAAATTTTCCAATGCTCAGAAGAATATAAGTTCTTAGAGGAGGAGGCGGAAATGACTTCACTGGGTTCCCTGACCCTTCAAAGGTGAACACACACAGCGCGGCGTCCCCGCCGGAGCAGGAAGCTGCCAGCGGCTCGGCCGGGCAGCACGCGGTCACAGGATGCTGGGCTCGGAGGCTGACACGTCGTGGGGAAGGGCCTCAGAACTTGAAGAGGTCGATGAAGTGCTGTGGGGACACGGGCGTGAAGCAGCTGTTGGGGTCGGTGGCCGTGCAGGGGTGTCCCGAGTCCTGCGGGAGGAGGCGAGGGTGACACAGGTCGGTTACCAGCTGCCTAAGCATCCCAAACCCGCCTCTAAGCCATGAGAGCATGACACCGGCACACACGTGGTCTCAGCGCAGAAACCTCCTGCTCCCGTGCTGGACGGACAGCGACCCCCGAGCTGGCCTGAGCTGGCCCTGCTCAGAGAAGAAGACCCCAGGTTTCTGCCGCCCTCCTCCAGCCATGCTACCAACTACGCCCATGCTCCCCATGACCATGCCCAAGCTCCCCTGGGCCACATCCATGCTCCCCTGGACCACGCCCACGCCCCTTGACCACGCCCATAACCATGCCCATGTTCCCCATGACCATGCCCACGCCCCCACCCCCTGGACCACACCCATGCTCCCCATGACCTTGCCCATGCCCCCTGACCATGCCCATGCTCCCCTGGACCACGCCCATGCCCCCCCCAGGCCCACGCCCCCTGACCACGCCCACACTCCGGGATTGTACTTAACAGGAAAAGTGGGTTTTGTGTGAAAGGACTGAGGAACTTGAGAGAACGAGTGGCCTAAACGTTACAGCCGGCGCATTCGCTGGGCCTGACCACCAGGTGCTGAGGGTGCCTTTACCTGAAGGAAATGCTACTGGGCGCGCCTGGAGCTTCCCCTAAGGCTGAGCCTGGCGCTCAAGTGCAGGCCTCGGGCATCTCATGCAAACCCTTCCCTGGGGCTGACCTAAGCCAGGCTGTGCACCCGGCAGGCGGGGCTGCGATGGGTGCGGGGTGCCCTCGGCGGGGCAGGCGCAGGGTTAGTCCCGAGCAGGCGGGAGGTGTGAGTACCTGGAACAGCAAAGCGAGGCGGCAGTCCTGGAGATGGAGGACAGGTCGGAGGAGCGGGAGGAAAAGGGAGAGATTAGAAGGGCGGCTGGTGAGCTGTGTGTGACAACAACTGAAAGAAACCAGCAGGAAACGGGCGACAGCCAGGTCCCTAAGGCAGCACCGAGACTCCAGCCAACACCCGGCACCCGCAGCTATGACGCACGTCTCACTCCCCCACGCCTCTCACGCCGTGACCAGGCTGCAGGACACCACCCTCCGTGTTCCTGCAAGACGGGAGCAGAGCCGCCATGACACGGGAGGGGACACTGTGCCATGGAGTCGTTCACAGCCTTTCGGGTCGTTTGGGCCACCAAGTGCAGGCGCCACTGAAGGGACCACACGCCCTCCGCTCGCTCCGCCTGGTCACCAGGTCTGCGCCCGGCGTGGGGGCCACGGGGGCCGGCAGAGCCTCCTCTCTTCTGCTCCTGCGTCTCCGGCTGCGCCGCTCCGTGCTGGACTTGGCCTCGCACAGGACGCGCACTGAACCAACACGTGTGGTGTCACAGGCGGAAGCCAGGCCCACAAGGACAGGGCAGGGGCCGCAGGACGCCCGGGGCCGGGCTCACACAGCCTTTAGTTTCACCGCTTTTTACCCGTGAATCTCACAGGAAACACAAACTCAGGGCAAAGCGTGGAAAGCACTGCAGGTGAAACAGCTCACTTGCGAAGAAAATAAAATTTAGTGAAGGAGGCACGTGGAGTCAGCCCTGAGCGTGGAGAACCTGTCCTCAGAGACGTCTGGGGGGAGCAGACAGGAAGGGGACCCATTAGACTTCTGGGGAGGAGCAGACAGGAAGGGGGCCCATCAGAGACATCTGGGGGGGTAGACAGGAAGGGGTCTCGGCAGAAGGGCCCTACGTGCTCTGGATGGAAAGTGAGTGTCCAGGTACAGATTCCTCACTGAAGGGCTAGACTTGATAAGCAACCAGAGTCTGTTAGGTTCTGACCAAACAATGAGAAAATGCACGTTTACTTGTGTGTGGAGCTCTGAGAAGAGAAGCCGGGAGGCACATGGGGGGGGGGGGGGTGCCCTGAAGCAGCTCTGTGGCGGGGGAAGGGGCAGCTGTGGGACGAAGGCCATGTCTGGGGAACAGGTAAGTGGAGGTCGTCCTTTCTAGGCCGAGGGCTCGGGAAAACCGCCAGCCAGGAGCAGCCTCTGCCAGGGGAGGCCCAAGGGCGCCAGCAGACCTGCTGCCTGCCTCCCCTGGGACGTGCCTCCCCTGGGACGTGCCCCACCCGCCAAGTCACCACAGGGAGGACCGCCATCCAGGGACAGGCAGAGGCCAATGTCGGCTCGTCGTCGCTGGGATCCGAACCCAGGGCACTCTGTGTTCACGAACCTGCCTGCCCGGCGTCTGGGACAGACAGCCCCGCGTGCTTCCGCCACAGCTTCCTGTTTGCTCCCCTCTGTGCTCCCGTGCAGATGACAAGCTGTCCCTGCCCGCCGCCCGCCCGCGCCCGCAGCTCACCTTCCAGAAGAGGGTGCTGCAGTGCCGGCAGAAGAGCAGCGTGTCCCCGTACTGCTCCCGCGTCGGGTAGCACTTCTGCAGCGCAAAGTACATCAGCTTCCACTCCACGTGGCCCTTCTCCGAGAGGATCAGGTGTCTGCAGAACTAGACGCGCACACGGCTCAGTCAGCAGTGGTGAGCAGAGCGTGACGAGGTGCAAAACTGTTAAAGAGGCAGGTGGCGCAGGCAACACGGAATCACTGGACTTAAACTACCTGGGTTAAATCCAAGGGACTCATCAAAGGACGCGCGTGTCCCCACTATGGGACCCCACACAGCCGCGACGCAGATTTCACTACTCAGATCTGGCCTGATGCCCATAAGTAGTTCAACTAACAGTAAGTCCAACCCCGACGCTGCACACCTGAAACTGATATAATACTGTATGTCAACTGCACGTGACAAGTCAAATCAAAGAGGCAGGAAGTTACACACATCTCTGCCCGACATGAGCAAAGGCCCTGAAAAGACATTTCTGTGGAGATGTACAAACGGCCAAGAGGCCCAGGGCCTGCCCTGAGTCGGAAGGAGACGCCGTCACACCCGCCGGGGGTGGGAGTCGCTGCCAGGCGGCACCTGGGCTTTCCATCTGGCTGGCACAGCATGCAGACAACATGCACCTGTGGTGCCAATCCTGACACCTGACATGAAACTCTGTGCGGACGACAGAGCCTCTACAGGGGCCCTTTAGGTCTGAGCTGGTGTGGTTCAGTGGACAGAGCGTCGGCCTGCAGACTGAGGGTCCCAGGTTCGATTCTGGTCAAGAGCACATGCCTGGGTTGTGGGCTCGTCCCCAGAAGGCAGCCAATCAATGATTCTCTCTCATCATTGATGTTTCTCTCTCTCTCTCTCCCTCTCCCTTCCTCTCCGAGATCGATGAAAATATATTAAGAAAAATACAGTAGCCCTTTACGGAATGCATGCAAGGACCTCACAAATGGTCAACCATGTTCCCAACATGCCGCCATACACTTGACCCTCGAGCTGGGGAGCAGCCAGGGCACCTGGGGAGGGGCCCCCAGGAGCTCCGGGCCGCCACCCAGACGCACGTCACCTGCTCGTTCCCTAGGCACAGCCCTCCCTCAAACACGCACCGTCCCCACACCCGTGCCGACTCCAGAATGCAATCTCGCTCTTCCCCTTCAAGTAACCCTGACCCTGTGCTTCCCCCCAAGACCCCCCAGAAGTTTTCCTGGGGTCGCCCACCACCACAGGACTCAGTCTAGCAGGCATCCTCTGGGTCCCAGGGGACCTCTGGGAGCCTTGGCCTCTCCTCTCAGGCCCTCAGGAGCCCTGTTAGCCGCTGCCCGAGGCCCGCTGCCTCCTCTCGAGTCCCTCAGACACCCGGGCCTCTCGACGGGCTGCACTTGGGCACCTGGGAGGCATCTCAACCCACCGTCTCCACCTGTGACTCCCAACCCCCAGGGACCACGGTACACGGCTGCGCCCACCCCAGCCATGGGCCTCAAGTCCCTGGGTTGGTCCATGTCCACACCCTTCCTTCTTGGCGCCGCCTGTCATCGGCTCCCTGTGCCACTCATCTGCTCTTCACACTAGAGCTGCACTTGTTCCAAACGCCACCAGGCAGAGGAGGGTCCATGGGGCTCATGACGCGCCTCCTTGTGTAGGGCCCTGCCACGCGGACCACGCCCACAACTGCCACTGCCCCGTGACCTGCATTTCCTCAAGGGGTCCTCCCCCGTCAGCCTGCAGAGTGGAGGTGCTCACAGCACACCCACTTCTCCACTTCCCGTGTCCGTCACCAGCTCCACCACAGCTGTCTCTGCGGACGTGGACCGCCCGCCTCCCCTCCCCTCCCGCAGACCCAGGCTGCCTCGAGCACAGGCACAGCCCTGACCGCGGAGCATAACGCAGGGAGGGCAAGGAGGACGTGGACAGCGGCATGCCGCCCGCCGCCCAGGAAACCAAGGCTGGCGGGGCCCCGGCCATGGCGGACACGCAGCCTGAGCCCATAGGGGAGACGGCGACACGGTGCTGTCAACAGAGGGGGAACGCCGGGAACGCCGCCCTGTTCTGTGTTCCGTGTTGGGTCATATGAGTTCACGGTCCTTTTTAAAGATGAACAGGAAACTGCATAAGCTGTCG